GCAGTGATGTTCAGAATCTGGGTAAGCTTACTCTATATGTGATATGCAAGGTGGAGGAGGTATGCTGTTAAGTCTCACATCACACACACACTAAATAATGATCCACCAAAAGAAAACTAGTATCTTACATTTTAAAGAGAAATTTTAATTTACAATTATGATATTAAGGTATAAAAATGACTAGTTGACCTATGCTTTTCTCTTTTATTACCACTACAACCACCACCAAAAATACCCATCAGTAACAATCCACATTTTCCAGGGTTCTTTTCATGCCCAATTTAACATGAAAGAGGAATAAAGGTCATTTTTAAATGATGTTGTTGATGCCTGTTAAGCCTACTTAGATCCTCACTGATTATGAAGTTAAGCTATGGACATTGAGGCACCACAGGTGACTTTTTTATTATTTAAGATTTATTTTATTATGTATATGTATGTGGGGCTATGTGAACATGGGTGCTGTGCCCACAGAGGCAAGATGTTGGATCCCCTGGTGCTGGAGTTACAGAGAATTCTGAGCCATCTAACATGTATGCTGGGAACTGAACTCAAGTCCTCTGCATGCACAGTCAGTACATGCTCTCAACTGCTGTCATCTCTCTAGTCCCACCTTAGTGACTCTTGATATGTCAGGTTTAAAAAAAGTGTTTTCTTTCCAATAACAAAACTTCATTCTTTGATTTAATCAATAACTAAGGATCCTTTACTAAATGAACTTATATAGTAACTAGTGTTAACAAGCATGCCCCAAAGCCAAAGGAATTATAGCTGTCAATCCCAGGCTTGGAATTGCCCCATGCACAGCCCAAAAAAGCATAGCATCGGGAGTCCTTGCCTGAAAGTTAGAGAACATTCCTAGATCCATAGCTTACTTCATGTCTTAGTTACTTTTGTACTATTAGAATAAAAGATTTATAAAAGGAAGAATTTAATTTGAGGCTCGCAGTTCCAGGGGTTTAGAGTTTATGACCATCATGGCAGGGACCATATAGCGGGGAAGCAGGCATATGGAGCAGTATCTGTTGGTTCACACTTGATCCACAAACACCAGGCAGAGAGAAAGAACTAACTAGGAATGTCATGCTTATTTTTGAACCTTCAAAGCCCAGCCCCAGTGACATATCTCCTCTAACAAGGCCACATTGCTTAATCCTTCCCAAACAGTTCCACCGACTGTGGACCAAGCATTCAAAACATATGAGCCCATGTGTGGTGACATTTTGTTTGTACTCTAACAAAATTTGCCTGAAGATCAGAGGACAGGGCCAGCCACTAAACATAGAGGCCAGCCAGTGGTGACACACATCTTTAATCTTAGCACTCGAGAGGCAGAGATCTGTCTGGATCTCTGAGTTCAAAGCCACCCTGGACTACACAAAATTAATCCAGTCTAAAAGATAAACATAGCCAGACAATGGTGGCACACACCTTTAATCCCAGTACTTGGGAGTCACATACCTTTAATCTCAGCACTAGGAAAGTTGAGGCAGAAAGTGATATGGCTGGGCAGAGAAAGGAATATAATGCAGAAGGAGACAAGAGCTCAGTGCCCTTTCGGTCGAGGACTCAGGAGCATTCAGTCTGAGGATTTGTGGAGACAAGATCTTCCCCTTTTGGCTCAGGAGTTGGTGAGGTGAGAAGTGGCTATGGCTTGTTTCCTCTGATCTTTCAGCATTTACCCTGATATCTGGCTCCAGGTTTTTATTATAAGATCAATTAGGATTTGTGCTACACCCATGGAGGGGGAGCATTCTCATTCAAATCAGCACAGTTCTCCAGCCAAAAGTTGTAACATGTGGCTACTAGGACATTTATAGCAGCTAAAGCAATGCTAGATGCACCTAGTCAAAAACACACATTCTGATGTGTCCTAACACGTCTCAGGGTAGATAAAGGACTACTTCATCCAGACCAAAAGAACTCATTATGTGCTAAAATAACCTTTATCTTTCTGAATCTCCACAATCTCAAAAATAAATTAACTTTAAAAAATGATGTATGTGGCTGTTTTGTGCATATGACTGTGTACTATGTGTATGAAGAGTACTCAGAGGCCAGAGGAGGGAGTCAGATAAGCCTTGTTTATAAACCTGTCAGTAGTTACTTGTTTGGGCTTTCTTATTTTGCTTTTGGCACTGTACTTACTGGTTACCATCTCACAGGTCTTTAATATACTCCACCACAGAATTCCTTCTCAAAATTGCTCTTTTGCATTTTCCCTTATTCTCAATACATAACCATCAGTATGCTCAGTATGTTTAAGATTTGTGTGTGCAAGCATGCCACTGGTTGAGTTTATGTGTACTATGTGTATGCAGGTACCTGTGAAGGCTGGAAGAGGATGACAGATTTCCTAGATAGTATAAGAGTTATAGGCAGTTGTGAGCCACCACCCAGTGTGTGTGCTGGGAATCAAACCTGGACCCTCTAGAAGAGCAGCAAGCAAGTGCTCTTAACCACTGAGACATCTCTTCAGTACCCCCCACCATGTTCTTTTATTAAACCCAAATACTTAAATAATTTATTATTTTTTAAATTACTTCTGACAGAAACCTATATGGACTTATTTTTATAAGAAGGAAGCCTATAGCAGCTCTAATTTCCATGTGCCTGACCTGGGTTCAGGCATCCTCAACTGCCCTTGGCTTCATCACAGAAGGTTGCATTAGGCAAAAGCAAAGACCCCTAGATAAAGCTCATGTTGGCTTAGTCATAGCTGTTTTACAGCATACTCAATATAGTGTGGCATGTGGTGGGACACAGTGAGACCCATGAGGGTCACTGATCCCTTAAATAAATTAGAAAAGTGTATAAGAATCAGTGCCAATGAAACAAAAGCTAGAGCCTTGCCATCCCAACTTCAGGGTTCTCAATGATGTTTTTACTTTTTCAAATGTCAACTAAGTTTCACATTGCATCATTACACAAATAATTTTCAAACAAAGCAGGTTCAAGTATCCAGTTAAGGGAAAAACACAGGCTAATTTTGCCAGAGTATATTACTTACATGCTTCTATCTTTGAGAATAGGTGATTCATTCAAGGCGATTTCCTGTGCTTTCATTTTCTGTCCTCGAGTTGAACACAAGAGTACAGAAGTTGACTTGAAAAAAACCTCAAAACCTGGAAATTAATACTGCTGCATCACTTTGTAAAATTAAAGCACCAAAAAGGGGTTACCTATCCCTAGACTCAAGCTCAGTTTTTCCTTTAAAGTTGGGTGTCTAAAAGATTACACAACCAGTAGCTCTCAGATCCCCAATCTGTGGAACACTTTTAAAATCTATATCCTAATTTCTATACACTGACACTATGACTAATAAAATCATTTCAGGAACTTCTTCCTTTGTGATGAGGAATTCTCCTAGTTACAAAGACTTATAAAACAAATCTGCTCCTGGAGTTCCTGAGTTCAACTTTGTAGAACTGTAGCTACTGGTTATTGGAGATAGTCATGGTCTTGAGATGTCATTAAACACTCTGCTGCAAGCATACATCAATTATTCTCCCATTGCTGTCTAGTAACTTGTTGCTAGGTCTCTGTGAAGTAGTGCTCCAGTGGGCTGGCATTTTGCTTTCTTCTCAATATGTAGTGTTCACCCCTTAGTCGCCTACAGCTGATTAGCACATCACATTCCTGGTGGGATGCTCCTTTATTTTTAACCGTTTTTGGAGACAGTGTCTCATGTAGCCCAGGTTGGCTTTGGACTCCTTATGTAACCAAGAATGAACTCCTAACCCTCTGCCTCTACCTCCTATAGGCTAGGATTAAAAGCATGCATCTCGCCAGGCGGTGGTGGCGCACGCCTTTAATCCCAGCACTCGGGAGGCAGAGCCAGGCAGATTGCTGTGAGTTCGAGGCCAGCCTGGGCTACCAAGTGAGTTCCAGGAAAGGCGCAAAGCTACACAGAGAAACCCTGTCTCGAAAAACCAAAAAAAAAAAGCATGCATCTCAATTCCTCTCAAATGACTAACTTCCCTTGGCTAAATGAGGGTGAAAGACAGGTTTGATTTAAACTTCTCAAACGAAGCTGGGCACAGTGGCACACACCTTTAATCCCAGCACTTGGGGGTCAGAGACAGGTGAATGAATCTCTGTGAGTTCGTGGACAGCCAGGACTACATAATGAGTTCCAGGACAGCAAGAGCTACAGAGGCCCTGTCTCGAAGGAAAACAAAAAGTAAACACTTCTCAAATGATAACTCTTTAATTCTAATTTAATTTAAATCTAGAATTATTAAAAATAATTCTAATTTATTTTGAAATTAAATCTCCAAATCACACTTTTGAGTTTTCCTCTTTTACTCCCTTGTCCCTCTCCCTCTCTGAAGCAGGGTCTCTCTACATAGCTCAGGAACTTGCTGTGTAGACCAGACTATTTAGTGCTGGGACTGAAGACATGAGCTACCACACCTGGTGCTGATTTCTTTTGTTGGTTTGTTAATACTTGAAATATTTTTCATCTGTAAATTATATACAGATTTGGATCTTTGAGCTTTTGTAAGTATTTCAGAATTTTTATCATAGCCTACCAAAACGTATAAAATCATTGTTCACCAGCACTCAGAGTGTTGAAGGTCAAGAAGGTCAAGGTTGTTACTTTCTCTTTGCCTGATGGTTATAGATCTTCATTACTTGCAAATGTATCTATCTAAGTTACTTTCCCTGTGTTCCCTTCAGTTACACTGTCTAGGGATAATTACAAAATAAGATCCCTAAGAATACATCAGTATTCTTCAACAGAAAGAGTCACATGTGAAATTATGTGCATCTAAGATGAGCTCCTGTGCCTGAGAACCACAGCTCTCTCCATCACCAGGGGTTCAGGCAAAGAACAGAAAATGACAAGCTCTAACCACTGTTCAATACCAGTTTTGACCTGAGTATGACCAAGATTAAGTAGAATGGAACCTGAGAGTATTGCTAATAGTTGGGGGAAGAAAGGAAGACAAAACTTTTAAATGAAGTTTCAACATCTAAATAAAATGACAAAAAAATACCTGTTTAACAACAAAAAAAATTTATTGATTTACAAATTTTAAAATGGATCACTTAAAAGTAGGACTATTTTAACCTTATTATTTTTAAACTAATTCTTTCAAAATGTACTTTATTTTTAAAGTGACAGAAATTACCCATGGACCAATCCTCTTTAACATGGACATTTAAATGTTTTCTATGTTATGTCAAACAATCTGCAGAGCAGAGTGCAAAGCTTGTGCAGTGGTCTTTACATAAAAGTCTGGCCAGATGCAGAAGCACGTAAGTTGTAAGCTTTGCAACAGTGGCCTTTACTCTATGCATCAGAACATCTGTATCAAGAAAACCATGTGAAAACCACTGCTTTTTATTACCAGCAAAACAAGCGGGACACATTTAAACAAAGGTAAAACTTAATTGTGAAATATGTATTGTAAAACTACTTGCTATAGCCTACATTTCAGTTGGCTCAACATCATCATGTAAGAAAAAAGTCAGCACAAAAGATTCAGACTAAAAGATTTTTCTTTTTCTTTTTGCAATCTCCATATGCACAGCTTAATGATTTACACAGTTCTTAGGCTTAATCCTTGGTCAGTAGATTTCCAAGTGCAAGTCCAGTCATGCTGTCTCCAGGAACTCTACTAAGATGCTGACATTTTCTTCCCAGCATGTCTGGAATATTCACCAGAAGTATGCCTGTGAGGGGCTTTGTGAAAGCCTAGGAAACTATAACAGAGTTTGGTGAAACTAAAATAGAGTGCAAAGTCAAATAAAACCAAACTGATTGCAATCAAGTCAATTCCCAAAGAAAAATCTATTAAAAATAGTAATATACATGTATAAGAAATACAAATGATCACTGCAGTTAGTCACAGATGCAAGAGATCTAGGGATCCAAGGCTTTGTGAGCATGGTAATTAAGAGCAAATTCATATGCTAGATCAAATAGTGTGCACAATTTTGATAAGCTGGTCAAGTACTACTGGAATACATATCATATTTGGTAACTCTAACGTTTATATTACTCCTTTTCTCTCCCTTTAATATTTTAGGTACATACCAATGAGAAAAAGCAATTTGTCTTTAATGGAGAACAACAGAATTTTTATGTGTTCCAGACTCAAAAGGTTAATATTTAATAAAATGTAACATCAACTTACTTATAAAAATTAAAAAAAAAAAAAACGCAACACATTATCTAATTCTTCTATGGTCTCCTAGCTGGTCTGAAACCACAGAAGGCCTTTAAGGAAGAATGTTAGGAGAAAAACAAAGACCAACCCATGGGACGTGTATGGTTACAATTATCACTTGCAGGGAAGCGAGTTGCCTGGCCTAATTTTAAAGCTAATTACAAAATCCATTTTTCTTAATGGTCCAGATACCTTGCCGATTCTTCCAACTCAACAGAACTGTAAAAACAAAAGAAATATTTTGTAAAATTTTTAAAATACAAACAATGGTGTATATATCTTGACTTTATATACTTTATGAAAGAGGTACCTTTGAAAAACGTTTTTATACACAGTAGTTACTCATTTTGACCCTCCACTTTAGAACTACAAGGACTATGTAACTAAAAAACAAATATGTAAGGTTTTTAGTAGTTTTTAAAAGTACTTCTCTTAATGTTTCTAGGTTAAACAACTACCAATTCTTTTCAGCTTTCTACATTAAACTGAATTTTCTTAAATTCATTAGGTACCATGTGGCACAATCTGTTTGGTGAACTGCTTGTAGTAAAACAAACTGTACTATATTCTCTCATCACAGTGATAAGACTATCCAGCATATATAACAAATCCAAGAGGGCTATTTAGACAAGCCAAGTTTGTTCAAGAGGATTGGAAAAGAAAGAAATGAGCTGGGCAGTGGTGGCACATGCCTTTAATCCCAGCACTTGGGAGGCAGAGGCAGGCGGATCTTTGTGAGTTCGAGGCCAGCCTGGTCTACAGAGCAAGATCCAGGAAAGGCGCAAAGCTACACCGAGAAACCCTGTCTCGAAAAATTAAAAAAAAAAAAAGAAAGAAAGAAATGACAGAGGGGAGCTCAGGTATCATTTATGCCTACTACATGAGGAAACAATAGCTCAGTGAGGGTGAGAGGCAAGGGTTTTCCCATCTTTGTGTGACTCCAGACTTATCCTTACCACGGGCATCTCCCAATTCCACACTACTAACAGCTTCATCATTAAATAATAAAAGTGCCCTTGGAACTGATATGCAATCCTAATTTGATATTTTGGTCTTGGAGCTTAAAGAAAAAAAAAAGAAACCACTGAAAAATTAGCTTTTCATGGGCCTGTACAGAAATGGTACTGTCATCAGCAGTTACTCCTGAGTCAGGAGGGATGCACAGCCCCACTCCTTGCTTAACTACTGGTAGATTCTGGGTGTGGGACAGGGGCAGGGGAGCAATGGAAACTCCAATAGACAGTTCACAACCCTTAGTCACACAGGCTGCCCTGGTTAAACTCAGTGGGTCACAAACAAAACAACATGAATGTGAGAAAGGGACTTGTAGGGAAGGGGGATTGACAGGGGTAGGAGAGAGATGAGAGGCTGGGGGTGAGAATAACCAGACTACATTATATACATGTATGAAGTCAGCAAAGAACACAACAAATTCACAGAGGCAATATGAAGGCTTACTGAAAAGCTATCACACCAGAACCAAGCCCACTAGAATTCCTAAAATAAACCCTGACATCATATAAAACTCTTTAAAATTTTCCAAGATCAAATTTATTAAAATAAATAAACATACACAACTTTTCTAGAAGAACAAGAGTGGAAATAATTTTATCACTACAGTATATATGGGAACGTGTGAAGGTAACTTAATATTCTTTCCTGCCATTCCTGTGTTAGAACATATGTGTTACGATCAAGCTCTAGGAAGGTACATATTCCTATCTTAGACAGCTTATGAAGAGACTGTAAATTATGCTATACAACCAAGGGGTGCCATACCTTCCACCGATTTCCACATTCATTACATACGACAAATGTTGTCATTGGTTCATCAGCACTACGAGTTTGCACCTGTAGCAAAATTAAATGAAAAATATTACTTTTTGAATTACCACTAAAAATAATCCCGCCTATGTAAGAACATTCTACATAAAGACATAGCAGAAACCCCAGTGATATCACCCTAAGATGTATATGAGCCTATACAAGTTCAAATACACTACTGGCAAAGGAGCATAATTTCAAACTTCATTTTTCTAAATCCTTCTGTTTGTCTTTCATGAGTAATTTATCTAGTTAAGTAGAAAAATTCTCTAAAAGTCTCTCATTAAATTATGCTTTTTATAAATGTTAATAAATATGAAAACCAATAATTAACATGTTAATGACCTACACATTAGTAAAAATGTTAATAAAATCCAAAGCATTTCTTTTTTTTTTTCTTCTTATTTTCAAGACAGGGTTTCTCCATGTAGCTCTGGCCTCTGGCCATCCTGGAACTCACTCTGTAGACTGGACTGGCCTTGAACTCACAGTGATCCTGAGTGATGGGACTAAAGGTGGGGGCTACCACCACCAGGCCCAAAATCATTTCTTTATGACACACATAACTGACACAACCTCTCTAAAAGTCAGGTTACATACCCATATCTCTGCTACAGGAACTTGGCATTCTCATCTACTCTGATATACAATTAGAAATACAAAGATCTCTGTAGCACACATGTTGGATTGAACACAGAAAGAATAAATGCATCTGATGGAATACTGTGCACTGATTAAGATGTTTACAAAAAAGCTGGGCATGGTACAAAACGCCAAAGAAATGAAGGCACCATCTCAAAGATGTATTGTTCACTCAAGTACATGGCAGTATCACAATAGTCAATGGCTACTCAGTTTAATAGGAATGGAGTTTCACATTTGAAAGTAGAAAAGCAAAACCGGAAAACATTGAGACCACATCTTAATAGAACACTTAGGAAGAACTGGGCTGAGGATGTAGCTCAGCTGTGAAAATGTTTGCCTAGCATGGACAAAGCCGCAGGTTCAATCCCTAGCCAGAAGTTTCCATGAAATCATCAGCATGATCAAAGCTCACAAAATAAAGAAACATTCTAAAGGCTGAAGAGATGACTCAGCAGTTAAGAGCACTGTTTTTGCAGAGGCCCAGGGTTCTATTTCCAGTATCCACATGGTACTTCCCATCCATTTATAAATTCAATTCCAGGAGATCTGATATGATACCCTCTTCTGATCTCCAAGGGCACCAAGATGCACGGGATGCAGGACAACATGCAGGCAAAACATTCCACACATAAAACATAAAATAAATAAATCTAAAAGGAGGAGGAGGAGGAAGAGGAAACATTCTAAAAATAGTAGTACAAGGCCTTCGGATAAAAATAAATAGTCCTAGCCAGTTGGTAGTGGTGCATGCCTGTAATCCTAGCACTTGAGAGGCAGAGGCAGGTGGATCTCTGTGAGTCCAAGGCCAGTCTGATCTACAAATCAAGTTCCAGGACAACCAGAGCTGTTACACAGAGAAATTCTGTCTCAAAAAACCAAAAGCGACCCCCCCCCCCAAAAAAAAAACCAAACAAGCAAAAAACAAAAACCTCCACCTTGATAAGATGTTTTGCCAAATAACTTTGAAATATTCATCCAAATTCCTATGTAACTAAAACAATCCCCCATCCTTTGGAAATCCCTAGTCTTGCAGTTTCTTTTTAAGCTATATGTACCCCACTGTCTCCAGCACTGCTATTTTCTCAACTCTGGCTTTATGGAGAGAGTAGAGTTTCTGTCCTGTCTAACAGAAAATAAAGCTACCCTAATTTAACTAAAAGAATTTGGATAGCGATGTTTACTCTCGCTCAGTGGGATCAACACCTACATCCAAACCTGAAACATATGGCCTTTAAGAGAGAATTTCTAAGGTTAGGAGATTACAGATATACAACAACAAAAAAAGTAAGAAAAAAATCGTATTTTGCAAACGAAAATGAGGATAGTGTTCGAAGTACTTTTATATAGACACATAACAACAGAAATTTGTTAACCATTCTTTATGCTATCCAAAACCAAAAAGGTCAATCATGTCATATATGAATGTAAAAGTCATCTGGCTACAAATAGGAATAGGCGTCTATTTGTAAGGCATTAGGTTTGAAATGCCCACAGGCCATGTGAGAGTGGAGAACTTCCCTTAAACTATATGGTCTTGCTTACTATGACACAGTAACCAGCCACTACTTATGAGCTGTTATAAACAACCTGCCCACTGTAGTAATCCTGTATTTTATATAACTACTACAGTTTTTACAGTAAATATTTCAATGACCACATAAATATATTAACTTATCTTCAACTAGTTGGAATCTAATGAGAAAGCACTTTTTCACCAGAGGTACATCTTTCTCGAACACTATCAGGTTCTGTAATTATCTTTACTCTGAAACAGGAATGAAACATTCTTAATGTGATCATGAGACCACAGTCAATCACAAACCTGTGTGTAGGTGCAGTTCTTCTTTTTACATTTGCCACACGTGAACAAGTCAGTCTGGGTCCCACCTGTCTTGGCCATCTGATGTTCTCTGATGGCTTCTTTGGTCAAGTTTTTCCTCATCTCTTTGAGCTCATCACTAGCCATTTCCTATGACAGAAATGGCAGTATCAATGAGTTAAAGATACTTTTGACAGCTACTCTATAACCTGAATGCTTTCATGTTCACATAGCTTAACAATAATCTGTAATAAAAGTATAATCAGGGCCGGAGAGATGGTTCAGAGGTTAAGAGCACTGCTGCTCTTCCAGAGGTCCTGAGGTCCTGAGCTCATAGCTCTGGTACCCTCTTCTGATGTACAGGAAGAACATTGTATATATATAAAATAAATAAGTCTTAAAAAAAACTTAAAGTAAAATCAGCTTATAAAAATTTTAAAGTTTTAAAACAGACTAATATTTTTCCCTCAGAAGACTTAAATAATTTCGACCTTTCAAAATCTCTTTAAAGACTCAAGTTTTTATGTGAAAATTAGGTATACATACTGTTTATAAACTAACAATGCACACCTACAGCAATCAGCACTTCTGGTATCCACAAGGTGATCTAAATACTATCACCACCCACGCAATCCTCAACGAAGCCAGTGGACTTTGGAGGATTTGTTTAGAAGCAAGTATCCAGAATATGCCGGGGTTACTTTTTTATGCCAGAAAGCATAGAGACTATCGTGTTTGGGACAAATGGGCACAAGAGTTAGTTAGCATCAAGGAGAGTCTGGTGGCCCAAAATAAGATAGCTTCTTCATTCACTGAAATAATTACTGGAAGGAAAAAGCCCCATAAGGTAGATAAACAGCTCCAAGTCCCTTATAGTGCTTAGTAGAGGGCATGTATATACAAAAGCCAACAGCAGCTACCATTCTGAGAATTGCTTAACTGGACACAAAGAATTTAAGTTTATCCTTTCTTATCAAACAAATTGGGTAACCAAGAGCTTGAATTTATATGAGAAACTGCTTCGATAAAAGAATCCTGGCTATAAAATGACATTTTAGAAACCGCTCTCTTGCAGTGATTATCCTACTCAAGTAACACTTGATCATCAATGGATGAATTCAATGGATAAAAGATTAATGGAGTACTTTCCAATGGAAATACTCACTGACATTACACAAAGTCACTAACAAACCCCAGAACACCAAGAGGAAAGCAGTAAGACACTAAGTGCCTTCTGATAGAATGCAATGAAGCAAAATCCATCACTTAAGGAAAGGGAAACGAGTATAATCAAACAATACAGAACATCAAGGGCGGGGGGAGAAAAATTAAGGAATATGATCTAATGCAATACTCACAGAAATTTATAATGTGTGGAGAGAGCTGGTCCTTTAACACAGCAGCACCACAGAGGAAAAAGGCAGAGGAGAGGGGATGTGAGGGGCAAAAGAGACTACTTTAAGCCAGACATGATGGTACATGTCTTTAATCCCAGCACTCGGGAGGCAGAGGCTGGCAGATCTCTGTGAGTTCGAGGCCAGCCTGGTCCAGAGTGAGTTCTAGGACAGCCAGGGCTACACAGAGAAACCCTGACTCGAAATACCCCCTACCACACACACACACCCCCTAAAAGAAACTACTTTAGCTTAAAAAACCCAAATCAAAGGTAATGTGTTGACTTTAGCTCCTGGTACATCTAAGGCATAATCAAAGGTGGTTCAGCAGTTAAGAGCACTGACTGATGTTCCAGAGGAACGGACGGGGTTCAAATCTCAGGTTGTCCGGAGTTCGATCATGACAGGATTGGTCAAATAAATAAATAAATGAACAAACAAATAAATAAATAAATAAATGGGAGAAGGGTCCACATGACCTCTCTCTCCTCTCTTTTTAAGAGGTCATGTACAATGGCAAGAAGCACTGCCTCCTTCAGGCCCTATAGCCTAAGGTCATGGGTGAAGCAAATATCACTGCAGAATATGAGTAAGTATATCATGGCTGGACGTGGTGTTGACAATATAGCTTTACAAGGAAAAGTATTTTAAATATATATTTTAAAAATATGGATACACATACATATAGAGTTGAAAAGATAAATGCCTGGGATTTGCTTGACATAAATTCAATAGAAAAGAAGAAAATAGAAAATAAATATATTTTAAAAAAAGTATGACAAGTCAGGAAGTGGTAGTGCAGATTTTAAAGCAAAGTTTCTTTTTTTTTTTTTGGTTTTTCGAGACAGGGTTTCTCTGTGTAGCTTTGCGCCTTTCCTGGAACTCGCTTTGGAGACCAGGCTGGCCTCGAACTCACAGAGATCCGCCTGGCTCTGCCTCCCGAGTGCTGGGATTAAAGGCGTGCGTCACCACCGCCCGGCCAAAAGCAAAGTTTCTTAAAGACAGCATACTTTATCAGCTCTTTAAAAAGTCAATATTACCCTGTTGGATGGTTAATAAAATCAACAGATTGTAGATGATGGGTTCCAGATGACTTAATGCATCACAAAAAGAACATTTGGGTAGCTCAAGACATAAGGAATAAACCAACAATGTAAATGAAGCAAACAATCTTGATGTCTCTAATATATGAATACATCATGGCTGTTTTCGCAGGCCTTTGGCACATGCGATATTTATACAGCACTTATATACAGACTTGCTCACCTCTGCTGTCATTCTAGCAAACAGGTCAGGAGGAATATTCCCACACAGCACATTTTTCCTTAAATTTGGATTCTTTGCATCTTTAAGATTTGATATCCTACTTCGTACTCTGTTTTTGTATTTCATGTCTGTATTCCTTATTTCTTGATATATAGGTGCTTGGCCATTAAGGAAAAAAGATTGTTATAAAGATAAGAACATTTTTTTTGTTCTGTCAAATTTATAATTCTTAAATTTTCTAAGCAATTCACGAAAATGGTTTCCAATTTAGATAAATAAACAATAACTCTTTCGGATTCCTTCATCTGTAATTGATCAATAGTGCTAATCTTTACAACTGTGACTAAGTGATGCTTTTTTTCAATGCTTAATCAGAAGCATGCATCAACATGATTTCAAAGAGTAACTCTGATATAACCCAAGTTAGTAGATGTTTGAAAAAGAGTTCTAAAATCACACAAGCTTTTAACTTGCTTAAGTCAATCCCACTAAGGACCTTAAAATCTATGCGAATGGCCATAGCTCCCTTGGAGGTCTTATGAGAAGAGACCATCTGAGGCAGCACTGGAGGCTCATCTCATTTACCAGCTCAATGAGACATATTACAGAAGTCCAGGTCAAAGCAAAGCAGAGAGCAAGGCCCAGAGGGGCTCACACTTTACACAGAGCAAGACCCAGAGGGGCTCACACTTTACAGAGATCAAGGCCCAGAGGGGCTCACACTTTACAGAGACCAAGGCCAGAGGGGCTCACACTTTACAGAGACCAAGGCCCAGAGGGGCTCACACTTAAGAGACCAAGGCCTAGAGAGGCTCACATTTTATGGAGACCAAGGCCTAGAGGGGCTCACATTTTATGGAGACCAAGGCCCAGAGGGGCTCACTTTTTACAAAGGCAAGTTCCTCAAAAAGGACAGTCCCATCTTACACCGCCATGTAGGTACTCTCTCTGCAAGACCTCTCTTGCAGTCTTTTCTATGGTGCCAGGCATGAACACATGTCCTGCCAGAAGGAACAGGGACTGAGCACTCTAGAGGTCCTCCTAATGAGCAATATCCACATCTTCTCTGCTATTTTACACAACTGAAATTCAGATGCTACGCTCCCAATATGCAAAGGCAGAAAAACAAAACTACCATCAATCATATGCTGTTTTAGTTTTGAATGAGAGAGAAACAAATGAACATGAATGCACTTCTCCTTCCTAAGAAAGTACAGAATAACCCTCTGAGGTATGTAGCAGACGGAAAGGGATAATTAACCTCACAGATTACTAAACAAAGCTATGAGTGTGAACACAAAGGATATCTTCCTCAATCTGGGATCCCAGTTCTTCCTCATCAGCTCCAATAGCAACGTAGTCATCTAGAAACAGGAATGAAAACTCATTACTGTAAAGTGTAAGCAAACCACTCCTATTTCTTCAATTTGCCTCATACACAGAATCTCTGAGTTTGTTAGGACCTGGGATCTTACTGCCCACTACTTCTTTCCTCTGGGATTGATCTAAGATCTGTGCCACAGTACTCTTGCACTGATGACTCCTTTTCCTGAGGAAGTAATTTATATACTAACTAGGCAATTCCTCATTTCACAACATCATAAATTCTGGGTGTTCCAACAGAGAAGAGAAAGAACAGATATTAGGAAGAAATGCCTTGTCTTCTGTGATTCAGGCTTCAACACAGAGAGAAACTACTCATTTCATCTACCAATCACATATATAGACATATTCAGAAGACTACCACAGATGCTCAAAAGGAGAAGGAATAAACAGACAGAGAGAAAAAGGAAAAAAAATAGACAGAGGCAGTAAGAAAATTCAAGTAGAAAGGGCCAAGTAAGTAGAAAAACTGGTCATCCTAGCTATGCATAGTTCAGCATAACTGAAAAGAAAAGGGGTTAATTTGCATAAGGTGTCAAACATCCTACCTACCTAACTTACTTTCTTAACTTATACACATACATTTTACACATTTTAGGGATACCATGTGGTGTTTCACTATATATGAAACCTTAAAGCCAAAAGTTTGCAAGTTAAGTCTAAGGATTTGTATTTCTTAGTATTTTCCCACAGAAGTGCAAGCTATAGATTACATATCACTTTTCCAACTTTTAAAAAGTATAAAACTGAATTATTAATATAAAAGTTAAATACTGTATGTCATCCTAACATTTAATATTCATGTTACTGTTCAACCTAAGGTCAAGGTAATGAGTTTTCAAATCAAAGACTTATGTGAGAAAAGCTTAAATTAGCATGAATCAGGGAAAGTATCAACACCCTAGAAGGCTCTGCTTGTTGGGGGTCCCAGTGTCCTCCTTCCTACTGCCCTTCAAGAACTGCTACTAGCAACAAACTCCTAAACTAAACAGTGGAAGCTATAAGCATGATGACACCTATAAAACACCAACACGAAAGTGGAGATGGCATGGGGGTACAAAAGACTAAAGAGCAAACAACACTAAACTTACCTCCTGTTCGGAGAGCTGCAGCAAGCATCTCCCTACACTTTAACCGCACAGAATCAGAAGTGCTTGGTGCCCGAGGAAAAGATGAAACATAAGTGTCTCGAGCGTTTGTCTCATCCTTTCTGCTGCTTACATTGCCACTGGAACTACTAAAATACACATACATGGGTACACAGACCAGAAAACAATCAGGAAAACCTTCTGAAGAGCATTATCATTACTCTCTAAAAATAAATACTTGGGGCCTAAATGAGATAGTATTTTAGTCATTATTACATAACAAAAATGCCATCTACATATAGACTAAAAGTTTTAAAAATTTGAATTCAGTAGCTAAATTTCATGTGCTAAAAAACCCCCCAAATCTCATGTGCTAGCTGGTGGTGGTGCATGCTCTTAATCCCAGCACTTGGAAGGCAGAGGTCTACATCCCAGCATGGTTTACATAGTGAGTTCCAGGACAGTCAGGTCTACACTGAGAAACTCTGTCTCAAAAATATTCTGACTTTATTTTCCTTTAAACATTAACAGCAACAATTTTTTTTATTGTTGTTACAGAGTCTCATTATGTAGCCCCAATAATCTGGAACTATCTATGTAGACAAAGCTGGCCTCATCTCGGATGTCTTCCTGCCTCTGCCTCTTGAGTGCTAGGATTAAAGTGAGCACCATCACTGCCAGCCCTACACTATTCTAACAGGAGAGACGTATATAGTTCAGCATAGTACATAACAATCAAGGATCTTGGCTTGAGGAAAGGTATGAGGGGATGGGGCCAGAAAACAGGGCAGCTTACAGTCAAACTAGAAAGAGGAAAAAAATGGTTTAAAAACCTCCGTACCAGTAGACAACAGAGTTCTAATGAAACTTTAAGACAAAACATTAAGTAGGTATAATAAATCAAGATTGTCAAAAGATTTGTTTCTAGAAATAATGGCTTAATCTGAATAGTCTAATAATTTTCTAGTCAAACTCCAAAACTTCAATTACATCTGACTAACCTCTTCTACTGGACACTCACCCAAACAAGTTGTTTTTACAATGCTTCTGTCTAGTCCCAGTTAAGTACTGTCACGTTAGTGGTATCTATCATGCAGCTTTTTCAGACTTATGAAGCTGCCCGACCCCGCCCGCCCACTGTAGAACTAACTTGCTGTGTTTACTGTTAAGAATACATCTCCTCCACTTCTCTCCAGGAAAAATCACTGTTAAACATCAAAACAGCTCACTATGGACAAGAATCATCTATGTCATCTAACTCCAATTGGTTTTTTCAGAGGCCATCTCTTATGACCCCTGTATTTAGGAAATACTGTCTATACAGTGGTTTGCACATAGATTTTTATACTCTCCCCTGCAAAGATTAAGTTTCCCAAAAGCAAGAACTAGAATTTCATCCTGTGTGTATTTTCAACATGTAGCATGGCACCTGTAAGTAGTAAGCAAAAATAGAATTGTTCATTTTTGAAACAAGGTCTCATGTCGCCCAGGCTGACTTTGAACTCTCCATGAACCAAAAATGACCTTAAATTTCTGATCCTTCTGCCTCTACCTCCCAAGTACAGGGATTACAGACGTGTGCCACCATGCCCCATTTCATGAGTTCTGGGAATAGAATCCAGGCTTTGCATATGCCCAGGAAGCACTACATCTGCAGCCCCTAACCAATGTTAAAAAAACAAAACAAAGCTTCTTAAATATTTTAAAGGCTTTTGCTTCTTTGCCTATGGCTCATACTTAGCCAAGGCACTGCAACCTGCCTGTGTAGACTGATAGAGCCTAGCTTCACTATTACCAACTCAACCTCTTAAAATAGGATGCCTAGGTTTGAACCATTTAAATCAAAAGTTTCTCAAAATCTTGCACTAAAATGTAAAATCTTGCTCAACCTCAAATCACTCAGATTTGACTTACAACTTCCATTATATTATACCTTAGACTAGTCTGGACAGTCCTGTTTCCTCCTGTGTCCTGTTCTGGACAGACACCAGGTTTTAGCAGATAAATACTCCACCTAAACTTTAAATACTAATAAAAATATACTAAAAATTCATTGTCTTCTAAATGGCTAAATTTAGGAGGAAAAGTGCTCAAAAGGCAAATGACTTCAAGGGTCATTCTGAATTCCTAATCAGTACCTTCACTATCACATCCATTATTACTCATCCTAGCTATCTTATTCAAACTTATTAAGAATGTATTAATCTCCATAATCTCATAGAGTGTGGCACTATTAGGAGATGTGGCTTTGTTGGAGTGTGTGGCCTTGTTGGAGGAAGTGTGTCATGGTGGGGGTGGGGCTTTGAGTTCTCCTTTGCTCAAGCAAATCCCAATGTCAGTCGACTTCCTGTTGCCTGGAAGACATAGGACTCTCAACTACTTCCTCAGCGCCATGTCGCTTGCACACCGCCATGCTCCCTGCTATGATGATTATGGACTGAACTTCTGAAACTGTAAGTGAGCCACCTCAATTAAATGTTTTCCTTATAAGAGTTACTGTGGTCATAGTGTCTCTTCACAGCAATAGAAACCCTAACTAAGACAGTACAATAAAAATTATTTCATTTTATTTACATAGACTTCTATTTTTCTTCTAAAATTCTAAGAAATCTTGCTAGAATTTTTTAAAGATACATGTGTACCAGTTCCATCTGACTAGACAGTGGAAGAGGAGTGCAGGCATTATTAGAAGACCAGGAACGGAGTGATGGAGCAGGTAAACTACCTAGTTATCCTGGCAGCTTGTTTGTTTTTGTGAACTTGACAAGCTAGAGTTGTCTGGCAAGAGGAATCTCAACTGAGAAAATGCCTCTACCAGATTGCCTATAGACCAGTCTGTAGGACATTATTTTGATTAATAATTGATATGGGAGGGTCCAGCTCACTGGGGATGGTGTCACTATTGGGCAGGTGGCCCTGGGTTGTATAAGATAGCAGCAAGCCACAGGAAGCAAGCCAGTAAGCAGCATTCATTCCTCCCTGGCCTCTGCTTTGGCTTCCCTCAAAAAGCTGTGTCCTGGGATATGTAAGCCAAATAAACCCGTTTGATCATGTTTTTTTTTTTTTTTTTTTTTTTTTTGAGACGGGTTTCTTTGTGTAGTTCTGGCTGTCCTGGAACTCACTCTGTAGACCAGGCTGGCTTCAAACTCAGAGATCTGCCTTCCTCTGCTTCCTAAGTCTAGAAACCCTAAAATAGCAACCTCAGCAGAAATTTATATAAAGTGAGCTACCTTTCTTCTCTTGCTTCAGGGCTATTCTGTGATGAAATTGCAGGTTCTTTTTTCTTTTCTTCAGGGTCTTTATCAGTTGATGGTCCATCTGAAAAATTTATCATATTCCTAAACAGTCTACTTTTGTTAAAAATGAAAACAAAGTACTGCACATTAATAGTCTATATATACCAAAAACAAACAAATAAATAAAAAAAAAATCACACCCCAAAGAGGACCCACTCATCATTAAAATCTTCAACTTCCCACAATTGTAATATAAAGTATAAGCAAACTATTACGTTAGCATATGTACTGGGGTATTTTTCACAATAGCTGTACAATTAACACTCCTAAATTGTCACTTGGAAAGAAATAGAAATTCATATGCCAATGGCACCTGAAAGTTCAAAAGGAAAATGTGCAAAGGAAAGAGTGTGGATGCACATGAACACAGCCATCCTGAAAATGAGAGCTTAGGCATAGAGAACAATAGTATCTGAGTGATTTTTCAAGAAGTTAAAAATGTTAACGTGCTACCTAAAGCACAGTTCAATATTTCTGGGAGAGTAAATGAAGAGCATCTTCATAGAGACCATTCCAGCATCAGTATGGTCCACCCAGCATCTCCTTTAACTCAATGATCTATCAACAGAGCAGCAGAGTTCACACCCTTTAAGATGTAGAGCAGTGATTCTCAACCTGGTGGTGGTGGTGGGGGGTCATATCTCAGATATCCTGCATATCAGATACTTACATTATGATTCATAACAGTAGGAAACTACAATTATCAATGAACAACTAAATAGTTTTATGGTTGCAGGTCACCACAACATGAGGAACTGTATTAAAAGGTTGCAGTATTAGCGTGGCTGAGAACCACTAACTTAGAAGAAAGTGACCAGACACTGTGAGCAGATGTAACATGAGTCAATGTAATTATCATTGGACTGACAAGAAGCATTCACCTTAAGCCAGTCAAAACTGTCCCTGATCTCGGTTTTGAAAATATTTAGGTCGACTGTAGAGATTATTTCACTTATCTATACTTTGCTCTCTGGGATACATAAATGACCCTATAAAGTTTATCTCATTTTCTGTGTAAAACACTGTAAATACATATGAATAGTAATAGATTGCAGCCCATCATACAGAATAAGAATCCATGTAAGTCAACGTTTTCTTACAGTTTCTTACAGTCTGATGACTTGGAGAGTAAAGAAATAAAAATTTGTAACCATAACTATAAAGACTGGGTTGGGGAAAAATATGGATCTAAGTTGGAGGAGGGGATCTGATCAAATGTAAGTTTCAGGTTCTTCAAATGTTTCTCATAGAGTAACTGTTACAAGAAGCACAATAAAGTACACACTTTGACTGGGTATGAGACTTAAGAATCTAATACCCTTATGGAGTATTCCAACTGTGGATGTAAAACATGATCTATCCAAGAGAAAACAGTAGACAAATCAGAAAAAGGGAACACATCACTAGAAACAAGAGGGAAGTGTTAGGTCTTAAACCTAGGACAAATGGCTGAGGTGCCTATTTAACATATTGTGACAGTTAGATGTAACTGGCCCCCATTAAGCACATAGGGAGTGGCATTATCATAGGAGGTGTGCCTTTGTTGGAGTAGGTGTAGCTTTGCTGGAGGAAGTGTGTCACTGGAGGCAGGCTTTGAGGTTTCACATATGCTTAAGCCACACCCACTGTCACTGTTTACTTCCTGTTGCCTGTGGGATCAAGATGTAGCTCCTTCTCCAGCACCATGTCTGCTTGCATGCTATGTCCTACCATGATGATAATGAACTAAACCTCTAAAAATGTAAGTCACCCCAATTAAATGTTTTTCCTTTATAAGAGTTGAGTGGTCATGGTGTCTCTTCACAGAAAAATAAACCCAAATTAAGACACACTATCAAAGTAGACCTGGCCAGCCGGTTCCCCCTGCATCTCTCAGTTCCTCCCAACCTGTTACAGGGCTCTCCTGGTTGAACACCCCACCCGTTTCCCTAAATTCTCCAGCCCAGAGGCTGGACTGTCCTTCCTCCAGTGGCTCCTCCCTATATAATCCAGCCATTTTGGTTATCCCTCCTCTTTGGGGCCTCCTGACTGCTGCACCTAGTTCTCCTCTCTCTCTCCTCTCCTCCCTCTTCCCCTACTCCCTCTCTACACATGACTCAGGGTCAAGTCCACTCTGGACTCTCCCAGATTTCTTTGCCTCTAGCTATGCCTCCTGTTTATCTACAATAAACTTTCTCCTCCAGCATACCTAGGAATAGTCATGTTCTTTCTTTTTATTTCTTTTTTCATTCATCTGGTACTGAAACCCAGGAGTGGCATAAATGAGTTCCCTCCCAAGAAACTCAGCTGCTCTGAACCAAGCTGCTGATCTGAGACTCCTAAAGTATGTATGGATATTTGTTTCTGTTGGCTTCTGCCACCCACAAAATTTGATTCCAAATTCCAGAGGCTGATTCTTTAGCTGCTGCTTCTCTCTACCTGCTTCCTCTGGACTCTGGCCTGCTATGTCCTCCATGTGGGTACCAACAGGTTTCTCTGGCTCCTGTAACCTCCTCCACCTCTAGCCTGCATGCCTGTAACGTTAGTATTTGAGAGGCAGAGACAGGAGGATCAGAAGTTTAAGGTCATCAGTTTAAGGTCATCGTTTGCTACACTGATTCAAGGTTAGCCTGGATTACATGAGACTTTGCCTAAACAAACAAATAAATAAGTGTCATAACAGAATAAGAGAAGGTTACTATAGTCTCAAAAATGCCATCATACAAGAAAAATTAAAGGCTTAAAGAATTGGTTAGATTAGAAAACTCAACACAATTCTGAACTAGATACTGGAGGAGGTTAAAAAAAAACTATAAAGGACATTATAATGTGTTTTAGTTGGCTTCTCTGTTGCTGTAATAAAACACTGACCAAAAGCAACTTGGGTAGGAAAGGGTTTATCTGGCTTACCTAATCTATCACTGTGGGCAACCAAGCCAGGAACTCAAGCAGGGTAGAAACTGAGAATCATGAAATGAAGCAGAGACTATGGAGGAATGTTTGCTTTCCATGGCTGTTTGATTTCTTTTATAACCCTGGAACACCTGTCCAGTGGTGTCACCAATCCACAGTGGGCCAGGCCTTCCCACATTAGCTATTAATCAAGAAAACACTCCACACACTGGCACACAGGTCAATCTTAGGGTGGCATTTTCTCAGCTGAGGTTCCCTCTTCTTAGATAACCCTAGCTTGTATCAAGTTAACAGGAAACTAAGAAGTATATAGGGACAGCAACAAACTAGAGCATGAACTGTAAATTAAAGTATTACTCAATGCTTGCTTTCCTTTATTACATTTGCATAAGAAAACATGCTTGTGTGAGAATGCCAGCACATGCCTGCAATTCTAGATTCTCTGGGGACTGTCTGAAGCAGGATCCCAAGTCCCAGGCCAGCTTACACAACAAAGTGGGAGCCTATCTCAAATAAATGAAGGAAACTAAGACAGAAAAGGAAAAGTGTTCTGAGGAGATGTATACTTAAATATAACATAAACGAAAATGACACACTTAATCTACTCTCAAATGATTTTTTAAAAAGAGAGATGATTAAATATGGAAAATAACGCCAGGCAGTGGTGGTGCACGACTTTAATCCCAGCACTCAGGAGGCAGGGGCAGGTAGATCTCTGAGTTTAAGGACAGCCTTTGTGTACTGAGCAAGTTCCAGAACAGCCAGGGCTACACAGAGAAATCCTGTCTTGAAAAGCCAAAAATAAAGAAAGAACACAAGCTGATCTGAACAAAGGAATTACTGTCCAGGCAGTCATTTTATCCTTGCTAAAAGTACAAAGAGTTATTATATATATTTTTTTTTAAGATTTATTTATTTATTACAAATACAGTGTTCTGTCTGCATGTGTCCCTGCAGGCCAGAAGAGGGAGCCAGATCTCATTACAGATGGCTGTGTGCCACCATATGGGTGCTGGGAATTGAACTCAGGACCTCTGGAAGAGCAGCTAGTGCTCTTAACCCACAAAGAGTTATTTTAAAATCACTTCAGAAAGCGCGTACAACCTTGCCTTTGGAGAAAATCCCTGAAAGACCTTATCCACAGTTACAACTGTCAGAGACCACTGAGTTTATTAGTCTACCACTTTCAAGCAAATTAAACCAAGACCCTCATCCTTACTGCAAAGCACTGAGTTCACTAAGTCTAGATTCATAGACAGAAAAATGCAGGAACCATTGCACAAGCCAGGACATCATAAATATATGTGAGCAAAGATCAATTTTACCTAATAATTTTTTCCAGGATTTGATAAGCGATTTGGCTAAAGATGTGACTTCTTCATCTGTACTCTGCTTGCGAATAGCGTTGACAGACATTCCAATTCTCGTGGACTGCAAGGCAACAACAACAAAGTGTCCATCAACGCTGTTACAAACAATTCAGTATATTAATCACACATGCTTCTTTTTCAGACTTTTCTATCTCAGATTTAAAACCCTCAATTATTCACATTCTGGTGAAAGTACACATATCTTCAGATCAAACACTGGAGTCACCAATGCTTCATCACTGAGATCAACAACTTTGAAATGTGGTATCAAGCAATGGACTACTGAAATGAACTCATTCTTTCAGGGAGAAATGAGGGTGAGATGTAAAATGTATGTGTACAGAAGGTAAGCTGAGATGCTCATGGCCATGGCAGAGATTACCTCAGAGCACTTGCCTGCAACTCCTAACAAAGCTATCCAAACAAAAACTACCACCTAGAGAAGATTAAGAGGCATCTTTATTTTTTGATTCTATGTAAGCAGGATATAATTAGGTATTAAAATGGATTTCAGAATACAGATAACATTTAACACGCAGTAATATTATCCTAGGATTATACTGAAATAACTAGGTATATAAATCTTCCCAAGAACCTTTCAACATTGAGATCATTATACCTATTTTTAAAAACAAAGAGACTGGAAATACTGATATAACCTGCTCAGCATTATACTATTGCTCACTGGCAAGACTAGAATTTCCATCTATGCTTGACCACTTCTAGAATGAATGTTCTTTCCAACTCACTAAAAACCATAAAAGCTATGACAGCTCAATTATGAACAGTAAATAACAATGGTAAATTATTCAGTAAGTTCAAGTTGTTAGTAGACAATCTTTCAAAACATGGTCTATGGAAGAAAACCTGATAAAGAAATTCTTAGCTGTTTAGGAATAATAAAGGAAAACTCCTGCTGATACTTTTGTGGTACAAAAGTAAGTAGGTACTTAAAGGCTTCCTTCTAAATTATTAAACGCTCAGCACAAAAGCTGAAGAATTTAGAATACACAGTGGGCTGCAGTAGCCTGTGTTGTATCTCGCAGAAAGCTGAGCAAAGCAGGTGAGGTTCAACAGCAGAAGAATGAAAAGGACCCCAAATTTTAACACCCACCCCCAATATTTGGGGATAACAAAGCAAGTTTTCTAAAAGAAATCCTAACTTTGGATGTATGGAGGAAATAACTTGAATTACTGAGTTATGAAGTATAGACTGACAGACAACAGTGTCAGAAAATGCATCCTAGAAGGTTCTGAAGGAGACCAAGATATAAGGAGAAGAATAAACTGTGCTGTTGAGTGACAGTTATTTAATGATGACAGGACGCTTTGATTATTAAAACCAACCATTCCTTGCTTGGCACCTAGTCTAAGTATGCAGCTTTCTACAGGAGATTATTTAGCTGCATAACAAGAGATCAGTCTGCTGAGGTGGAGTGAAAAAAGACCACAGCACATTTCTTTTTCCTATAATGAGTAGACACTTGGGGAAATGGAAGAAAGCAGAGGATGGAGACGAATAGGAAGCTATTTGCTTGGGCAACCAGGTCTGGATTTCTCTCTTAAAAGATTTTTCCTAAAACTGGTATGCTAAGATTTAGATATTATAAATAGACTGTTTAAAAGGTGGCCTGTTACACTGTCGCAGAGAAATTATCTATCTTCTACCAGGGTTTCTATTTAAAATCAGACAGGAGAATAGGCAGGGAGGAAAGAAGGGAGGACTATGATGAAAGACATGGTGGAGCACTGAGCACACTCAAGAATCACAATGAACATCTAGATCAAGTGGCTCCAACTCAGAAATCCCATTCACCATCATACACAAGCTTGTTTGTTTGTTTGCTTCAAGTTCTATGGACAGAACCCAACGCCTTGTGTATGTTAGGCATGTGCTATATTCCTAGTTGAGTAATTAAGATTTTTTAAATATAATATTTTACTGTTTTTCCCTTCTCCTGCAACTCTTCCCAGATGCTCTCCATGTCCCTAACGACCTTTGTTTTTTCTCTAAAAAAAAAAAAAAAAAAAAAAAAAACCACACAAAAAAATAAACTGCATAAGACCCACAGAAGTGAAAATCAAGACAAACAGGCAAAAGACTAATAAAACCAAAAATGACAGACAAAATGAAATAAAAAGTCCACAAAAATACCAGAGTTCATTTTCTGTTGGCCAACTACTCCTGGACATGGGGCCTGCTCTGGAATGTGGTTGATATACCCACATCACACTCCATTGAAAAAAATAATAATTTTTCCCTTTCCCTCCAATACCAACTGCAGATAAATTCTTGGTTCAAGGTGGGAAACTGTGTCCACTTCCCTTTCTCAGTGCTAGGACCCCATCTGGCTTGAACCTGTATATGCTACCAGTCTCTGTGAGTGAAGTTAGTATGTTCATCAGTCCTGTTGTATCTGGAAGACACTGTTTCCTTGGAGTCATCCGTCATCTGTGGTTGTTAACAATCTTTTCACTTCCTCTACCAAGCCTCGAGAAGGGTTTTGGTAAAAACATCCGATTTAGGACTGAGCACTCCAAAGTCTCTCACTCTCTACAGATTGTCCAGTTGTGGGTCTCTGTGTTAATTACCATCTATTACAGAAAGAACCTTTTCTGATATGGGTTGAGTGAGGTGAGAAACTGATGTGTCATTAGGAGTTATTTTATTACTCTTCCTTTAGTAAAGTAATAGTATTAGCTTTTCTGCTATTCCACAACCTATCAAGTCTCAGGTCCTTATCAGTTTTAGATATGGGTTCCATCTCATGGAGTGGGCCTCAAATCCAATTTAAAAACTGATTGGTTACTTACTCCCACAACATTTGTGCCACTATTCTACCAGTACATTTTGCAGACAGGTCACAGAATGGGGTGGGTGATACTACTTTTTTCCTTCAGTATCATAAAATGTACTTTCTAGCACTATGAACACTAGTCAGTAGGGGTGAAGCTTCTAGTCAGGCATCAGCATAACTTCTTCATGTTCCTTACATGTCTTCAGCAACAGGTTCTTAGCATCAGGTTGTGGAGAGCAAACCAAATGTGGAGAGCAAAGCAATGGCCTGTGATGTTTGGGGATTCCACAGGAGCCCTTTGGCCAATGAGCCAACAAGAATGCAGGAATGCAATGCATTCCTGGCACTGGAGGTTTGACGTGACAGAATAAGATGTTTAGCTGGGATATTGTCTCCACTACTATTTGGTGACTCCATTTAGATTCCTATCATATGTTATTTTTGGAAGCTATATTAGATTTCCAAATGTTTTTTAAAATGGCATTTAAAGTTAGTAATCCCTCCCCATTACTTACTTTACCCTCCTATTCTATTTTCTCCTTTATTTAATTGTAATACTATATTCTAGTTTCCCTTCCTTGGGAGATCTTCTCCCTCCCTCCCTGGTGTTTTACTAACCTTAGTAGTCATTCAGACTGTAACACACATATCAAAGGCTTAAACGCTAACATCCACAGATAAGAGAAAACATGCAATACTTGTCTTTTGGGATCTGGATTACCTCACTCAGGATTTTTTTCCTAACTTGATCTATTTAATATTAAGTTTTACTTTTCTAACCAGCTGAATAATACTCCATTGTGTAACTATAACACATTTTCATTACCTATTTATTGTTTGATGACCGCCTAGGTTGGTTCCAATTTCTGTCTATTATGAATAGAGCAGCAGTGAACATGAATGAGCAAATATCTCTATAGTAAGATATACCAAAAATCCTGTGGGTATATGCCCAAAAGCATTATAACTGGATCTTAAGATAGATCTATTCCTAACATCCCAAGGAACCTCCACAGTTTCCATAGTGGCTGTACCAGTATGCTCCCCCACCAGCAATGGATAGTCCCTGCATAGTCTCCAGCACGTGCTATCATTTTTTCTCCCATTTTGGTCATTCTGACTAGGGTAAGAGAAAATTTCAGAGAAATTTTAATTGGCATTTCCCTGATGGCTGAAGATGTTGAACATTTCTTTGTGTTTCTTAGGCATTTGTGTTTCATCTTTTAAGAACTCTGTTTAGCTCTAAAGCCCATTTTAAAATTGGGTTTTATGCTCTGTTATTTTTTTAGTTTGTTAAATATACCAGATATTAACCCTTTGTCAAATGTATTATTGGTAAAGATCTTTTCCCATTCTGTAAGATGACCCTTTGTCTGAATAATGGTGTCCTTATTACGCAGTTTTTCAACTTCATGAGGTCCTGTTTACTGATTGTTGGTCTTAATGCCTATGCTATTGGTGTCTTATTCAGAAAGTTCTTTTCTGTGCCAATGTGTTCCAAAAATATTCCTCACTTTCTCTTCTTTAAGGTATCTGGTCTCAGGCTGAAGTCCTTGAACCATCTGTAGTTCAGTCTTGTGCAGACTCAAATAAATATGGTTCTATTTGCATTCTTCTACTTGCAGCTATCTAGTTTTGACCAGCACCATAGGTTAAAGATGCTAATTTTTTTTTTTCAGTGTACATTTTTGGCTTCTGTCAAAAATCAGGTGTCTGGCAGGTATGTGGAATTATGTCTGGCTCAATTCAATTCCACTGATCAATCCGTTTTAATGCCAATACCATGCTGCTTTTATTACTATGACTCTGTAACAGGAGTTGAAATCTGGATGATGGTATCTCCAGCAGTTCTTTTTTTTAGTTTTTCGAGACAGGGTTTCTCTGTGTAGCTTTGTGCCTTTCCTGGAACTCACTTGGTAGCCCAGGCTGGCCTCAAACTCACAGAGATCCTCCTGTCTCTGCCTTCCGAGTGCTGGGATTAAAGGCGTGCACCACCACCGCCCGGCTTCCAGCAGTTCTTTTATCATTCAGGATGTTATAGCTATCCAGTTTTTTGGGGGGTTTTGTTTCCATATAAAGTTGAAGATTCTTTCTCAATTTCTGTGAAGAATTGTCTTGGAATTTTGATGGAGAATACATTCAATTTATAGATTGCTTTTGCTATGATGGCCATTTTCACAATATTAATCCTACCAATCCATGAGTGTGGATGATTTTTCCATTTCTGGTATCTTCTTCAATGTCTTTCTTCAATGCCTTAAAG